CAACCTTAGGTTCTTAGTATTTTCCTTTCCTAAAGCCATGCATGAATTAATATCAAAACAAAGTTTTGAAATCCTGATAGAGGTGCCTTTTGACTGAATGATATTAGTTGTGAAATCTTGTGCAGGCAATGATGCTAAACAATCGGATTCATAGCATATCGAGACTTCAGTCTGCTTTAGCAAAGGCAGAGGAGTATCTTTCTAAGTTTCCTCCAACTACACCATATTCTGAATTTCAGTTTGAGTAAGAAACTCATCTATATTTTAAATATTTTGATTGCCACTACTTTTGAGGAATGATTTGATTCCTTTGGATATTACCTTTGAAGTGTCGATGCAACATAGCTTTAACCCTTTTCACACTAAATGTAGCTTGCAAGGCATGGGGTTTGAGAGAGGGTGGGGTGACACAGCACAGCGGGTGTCAGAGATGGTGCATCTGCTCTTGGAAATTCTTCAGGCTCCTGATCCCTCTACCCTGGAAACTTTTCTTGGGAGGATTCCTATGGTGTTCAATGTTGTCATTGTGTCTCCACATGGCTACTTTGGCCAAGCAAATGTCTTGGGTTTGCCTGATACAGGCGGGCAGGTCTTGCTTACTTTTCCCTATCTCATGTCCATTTGTTTGTTTTTGATCCTTCCTTTCATAGCTTTTTCTCCTAAAACCATGAAAAAGTTATATATTTTTTAACTGATATCAGGTTGTTTATATACTGGATCAAGTGCGCGCCCTGGAGAATGAGATGCTTCTTAGAATACAAAATCAAGGACTGGGTGTGATACCAAAGATTCTGATTGTAAGTCTGCCTAACTAAAAGTTTATGCAGTATTAGTTGGATAAGGTGTCGTTTTATATTAATTCTTGTGGTTTAAGGTTACCCGACTAATACCTGATGCAAAAGGGACAACATGCAACCAAAGATTGGAAAGAGTCAGTAGTACAGAACACACACACATCTTACGGGTACCTTTCAGGACTGAGAATCGAATTCTGCGGAAATGGCTTTCAAGGTTTGATGTGTGGCCTTACTTGGAGACCTTCGCAGAGGTAAGCAATCAAAAGCATAGGTTTTTATTTATTTTTAAATCCTGTTTCTCTTCCCCTTTATTTTTCGTTGTCCCTTTTCAATTGCTTGAATGATCAATCTGTACCATGCATGCTTATGGATTTTAATAACTTTGCTTATCAGTAATATGACACAATAGCTCCTTTCTCTTACTGTGGCTATTTTCAGGATGCCTCGAATGAAATTGCAGCTGTGTTGCAAGGTGTTCCAGATCTGATCATTGGAAACTACAGTGATGGAAATCTTGTTGCAACTCTGTTATCTTATAAACTAGGAATTACACAGGTGAACTCTATTTGTTTTCATCCTATTATTTCTGATACAACATAAAATATTGGTGAAATGACATGGGGGAATATATTGATTTTAATGTTTCGAAATGGGATTCTCAATGAAGTGCAATATTGCTCATGCATTGGAGAAAACAAAGCACCCAGATTCTGATATATATTGGAAAAAACACGAGGACAAGTACCATTTTTCTAGTCAATTCACTGCTGATCT